TTCAAAGCAAAAACATCGCATGATCATGATCTCATGTCTTCTATACATTAATACGATAGAATTCCTATATTCTTAATCTAATCAATAATGTCCTGATAATGCACTGATAGAAATTGTTCAGGAGGAAGAGATTCTAATGATTCAAGAGATATCCAGGGGATCATTTTAATAAGGACCTAGGTTCCACTGTCATTAAAAACCAAATCTTACTTATCATCATTACACAAACCCACCCAAATATTGACATTGCTTATTATTTCAAACTTATGAAGGTAGTCAAAAATAATTTATAGTTAACGTCGGTACTGCAGATTTATCATGTGTAGATTCATTACAAATTAAATTGATCCTTAGTTATTGAACAGCATTGACTGTTGCTTCCAACAACACATTTGTATTATTTACTATGGTTTAACAAAAGAAGCTTCGAATTTTCCGAATTCTCTTGAGTATCATTAAAATAAAAAGAACTAAAATCCAACAATTAACTTAAAGCTCCGTTCACATTTTATTCAGTTTCCATCATCAGACACAGTTCCTAACTTTTCATTCCATAAATAAAATGACACAATTTTTTTTTCATTCTTTCTTCCTGGAAATCTCTCAGAACAAAAAAGCTTCAGTTTAAATTGAAAATAACTTTTGATTAAAAAACTTCGTCGAAGTCCAACAGTGTCAACTTCACTTCCTACAGTTTTATTAAAACTTACAGAATATAAATAAAGAAGAAACTTCTGCGAATTGAAAAGCAAGATGAATTGAATGAAAAAGTCTGAACAATGAAGTCATTTGTTGACTGTTGAGTAATTAAATCGTTTGACTCTGGAATTGAATTTATCAGTAAATGATTAAGGACATAGAGAATAAGCTGGAGAGTTAATTTAGTTTTTTTTAAAAAGTATGATTCAATTTTTAAAATATCAAAAAATTGGAAATTTTAAAAAACAAAATCCTGGAAAAGAAATCTGAAATTTTCCTTAAAGTGAAAAAACAAAAAAAATAAAAAACAATATTTTTTTTTCAATTTTTTAATTATATTACTTTTATTACAGCATTTTTATCCTTACACATTAAAGATTCTATCATCCTTGTCGAACATGTTTTTTTGCAAGTTTTTTTTTATTTACTTTTTTGTTAAATTAGAATTAAAGTTTTTTTTTATTTATGTTTTTTGAGAATATAAAAAAATTATAAATTTGTTTTTCTCTCATTACTTTTTAATTTATTTATTTTATTTTATTTATTTTTTGTCCCTAGGCTTATTCACTTCAATGAAAATTGTTTTTTATATTCAACATTTTTTTTTTATCAAATCCACTTTCCTTAAATTTAAAGAATTTTTTTTTCATAATTTTTTCATATTTTTGTGTGTGTATTTGTGAACCTTTTTTAATTCGTTTTGTGTCAGTTGAAAAGAAAAAGGAGATTTTTTTTCTTCTTTATTTAAATAATTTTTTTAATGCTGCTTTAAATTAAATCAATTTGCTTATTTAGTCATCACACTTCCATTTTTTAAAATAGTTCATATAAAGTTTGAAATTATAATTAGTGGCTCATTGTTTGCAGTTTTTGTTTGAGAATTTTATTATTTTGTAACACGAGCCAGAGCAATCATAAAAGAAATTACATCAAAATTGCTACATACTGATAAGAAACTGCGCATTAAAATGTCCAGAGATCTTTTTTATACACAAAATTATTATTTTTTTTTTCATTTCTCCTAAAATCAAATATAAAGCCAATAACAGATAAAGAATAATTGATCTAAAGTATAAAAAATGATTAGTTTAAAATATATTTTTATATTTTTTTGTGTTTGTTGAAAAAGGAAAAAAATAGAAAATTTTGTTTTTCTCCCGCAAACTTCACTTCTTTCTTTTTACATACAGAAATGTTTCACAAAACAATTTTCATCTAAACTCTTCGTCCATCGCTTACTTCTTAAAGTTTTTTTTTTCAATCTTACGTCACAAGAAATAAAAAGTTTAATTTACAATTTTTTTAAAAAAATTTCAGCTTTTCTCTTTTAGTTCAGATTCGCAGCAATATTTACAAAATTGAAATTTTTTTCATTTATTTTCAAGTATTTTTAAAAGAAGTTCTGTCGAAGATGCAACAATTTTTGATGGTTTTTGTTTCTTTACTGAGCTTCTAGAATTCTAAATCATCCAGTTTTATGCTTCAAATTGATATTCATTGTTATAAGTAATCCCAAAACAGACTCAAAACTGACAAGGACGTTCATTCCTTTTGTAGTTGATCATTTCAAGACTCGATTTTGAGTTAAAGCTGTCTCAATCAGTTCTTTAATTTAAGTATTGAGAATTGTGCGAATTCTTGTCAGCACTCTATGTAAACATTGATAGATCGGTTCTACTCTGCTTAGACACCATGCTTTAAACTTATTAAGGTACATCAAGAGACAACTTTAATTATTTGAGTCAAAAACTACAATTCTGTAACTTTTCTGAATATTAATGCAGCTTTTGATAGTCTTTATTCGCCAGTTTTGCATTTATTATTATAGAATTAAGTTTAATCTTATTTAATTCAGTATTTCATGAGATCAGGCACACATTTGATAGATGTATCTCTTCATGAATCGGTATTTGTAGATGGAACAGTCATTTATGTAGATAGAAAGTCAAGAAGAAAGCAAAAGCTAAGCTTGTTCAACTGTAAACTAGTTGAATCTAGTTTAAAATAAGACTAAGCTTAGCTTGAGCTTTCTTTTAATCATAGAAAAAGGCAGTCTTTGCTGCTTTTACTTCCAAAAAAGTGAATAATGTTAAGGTTGAAACTAGAATAGTCCAGCACATACTGATGATCAATTTTAGCTCACTTCTTATGAAAAATCAATTTCCTTTTCCTCATTAGAAACATTCCAGCAATTAAAAATGACAATTTCTGTACCAAATGTTGTCTACTTGACTAGTCATTGAGTTCACAAAAATCATTTTCAATCCTCCAGAATTTTTAAACCCTCTCAAAAAGGTTGCAAACTTTCTCGACAGATTTTTAAGCCATTTTCATGATTTTAATTAATTAAAAAATTTCTTTTAGTTTGAAAAAGCACTTTTGATAGATAAAATATTTTTTGGCGTCATCAAGTACACTTGAGTGCCTGAAAATTATGACTTTTTGATACCAAAGTGTACTCGAGTGCCAACTAGAGATTTTCAAAATGAAAAGGATGCTTTAATGTCTTGTAAATCAAGAATTTTGAGACTTCTTACAAATTTACAAATTTTTTACTTTTTTTTTATAAATCTAGAAATGGAAAATTTCAACTCAAATTGAGGAATTTGGGATGAAGTTTTCCATTTTTTGAATTTTTATTATTGCGATGTATTTCCTTATTTTCTTTTTATTATCAAAAGTGTTTTCTATTGCAAACTTGTCCATTTTTCATTCTTCCGTCCACATTTTGCAGAAAACAAAAAAATTCTGAGAAGCACAAATCAGCTTCTCATCACTCCACTCATTTCATTCTTTAAGTAGAACTTTTTTTATATTCATTATTCATTAATTTTTATATTGTATATAGTCTTTCAAACTCTAATTACTTTAATTACAAATGTCGTGTGTTTATTTCATGCTTTTTTTTATTTTCTCATCATTTTTTTTTTTCATACAATTAGACAGTTATCATCAATTTATTCATTTTTTAATAGAAATTAATTTTGTTCATTCAAATTTTTATTCTGTGTTGCATGTGTTGAGTTTATTGTGGATTTTTGTGATGGTTTGAGATTTAGGGGAATTTCAAACTTTTTCTTGGTGTTCAGTTTTTCATTTTTTGAAAGAATTGTCAGAAATTCATTTGAAAAAAATGTTTAATGTTAAAATAAAAATCATTGAAATTTTAAGACTTCAAAAAGTCCCCAAAATCAACAAAACTAATAAAATTGTCTAAAATTCCCGCAAATTCAAACCATCCAGTCTTAAATCCTCATTCCCAAAATCCACAAAACAGCTTAAAAGAAATATTTTAATTTTTTCTCTTCCAAAAGTTAAAAAAAGTTTTCAAACATTATTTTTATTACAAGAAATTTTTCGGGCGTCATAAATTAATATAAAATTCACCACAATCGAGATGTATGAAATGAAAAAAAGTTACATTATCCTCTCAAGAATGTCCTCTCGTCACAAAAAGTTTCAATTAAAATTTGTTATTTTTGTCTATCATATCACTTATGTCTTAAAATCACGCAGAATTGAGAATGTAGTCTAAATTCATTCGTATTTTTAAAAAAATTGTTCTTAAATTCATAAAATTGCTATTTTGCTTTTATATCTTTTTTTTTTTTGAGGACGTATCTCATATGCGAATTTGTGATCTATTTATTTTTGGAAGATTTTTTCAGTTGTTAAATTAAATTAAAGTAAAGAAAGAAAAATTTGTAAGTTCATCTCGGATCGAGTTTTATAGGTAAAATTGTGTAATTGGATTGTTTTTGTATGGAGTTATTTTGAGGGTTCGTCAGCTGTTTTTGTTTGAAATTAAATTTCTTTTGGACCTAAAGTGGTCAAATATTTTATGCGCGCATTATTTCAGTACATTATACATATTTTCGTATAGTACGCGTATTATGTTAGCACATGTAAACATTTTTATTAGTGCGCGCACTATGTTTAAGTGAGATTGACTTTTACAAGCGCACTATATACGTAAATATCCAAAAGCTCTTAAAATTACAATAATCCCCACTCAATAAAACTCCATCCAATCCATAAGACTTAAAATACAAAACGTTAAAGCAGGATTCATCATGATGTGAATTTAAACATTGAACATCCATAAAATGATGCAATGAAATGAGAGATGAAAGTATTTTTTGTTATGAATATGTCGGTAATGCAGATTCATTCCTATCACAAACACCACTGATGAAAAAATTACAATAATAATAATAATGATAATAATAAAATAAAATAATAATAATATAATAATAATTATAATAATATTCTTCATTGATTTTCTTTCTTTAAACAGTCCCGAAAAAAATATTTTTAAAAAAAAATTAACTCAACTATTTAAAATTTTTTTCCTTTTGTTTCTTCTTCTTCATGATTTTCAATATTTTTTTTTTTCTTCTTAAAAATGCAACTGTTTGTGCTGCTATTGTTATTGTTACTTATTTATTTTTTTTTGTTGATTGCGCATAGGAGATTATAAATCACTTCTTGTTTCTATGATGAAATTGGACGATGGAAGTAATAAAATTTTTTCATTCATATTTCTTTTAGTATAATTTTCATGCAAAGTTTCTCTCTCTTTCTCATCGTACTCGAATCAAAAAGATAGACTACTTAGACAGACGATATCTAGACATTTCTATTATCTTCGATCCTTGTACATAAGATAAGTTTTCATAGATGCCGGCAGTGTAAGTTCATTTATATGCTCCTCTAAATGGCTACGTCCAATTTTTTGTCTAATCACACGACGACATAAGTCCATAAGTGGAAGTGGTTCAGCTAAAAAGAAGACAAAGAAGATGAATATCAAGGTTAGTGAATGCTCGACATGATAAACTACATATATGTATATAAAAGAAGTAAAAGTAAGGAAGTAAACTTACGGTCCAATCCACCAATATATTTCATAGATATTTCACAATGTCCCCATACAGCTGACACAATAGGATATAATTTTTTGCCTTTGAGACCACGGAAAGCGACGCCCAAATATTGTCCATCAACAATGAAGCTCAGCGTACCCTCGTCCATATCGAGAGCAATCATAAATTTATCTGGCACCAGGAATGTCTCGTCTGGCTTTAAAATTGCTGGATACGTTACGCCTGTACCAGTTTTTGAATCATGATATAATTTATTTCTTCCTAAATCCCATCCCCAACTTTGATCAGATGAGCCGACAAGACTGTGATAACCGACACTATGTAATGGTGCATCAATTGTTGCAACTCCAATAACAGCGTGTGTACCGCGTTGACGTGTAGACCAATTTACTTCCCACACATGGAGGCCTTTGGTGAAACCAACTTTACCGCGTATACAATCGGTACTTTGTGCCACCGGATGCCGATGGAATGTCAATTTATCATCTTCCTTAACAAATACATTTAAACTACGATCTTCAGCATTCCATGAATGCTTTACTTGAACTTCTCTCGTCACTGGTGGCATATCGAGTAATACATCGAGACGTGCTGGACGTGTAAAGAAGGATGCGAGCTCACGAGGAATGATTGGCTTGTGATTTGTCGCTGAAGAAGATTGGTGATCGCCACGCGTCACAGATTTAACACCGCCTGAAATTTTTTGTCCCATGTTCATACCACTGAAACGGGAACTGCGAGAATTACGTATGGCGACTTTATATGACACACGAAAACGATCTATTTCACGCTGATCGATACGACTGAGTATGACACGTGGTGATGATGATGTCGTTTGTGTTACAGCTTGTGAACTGCCTGGATGATTGTGTGCAAGTGATGATGTCTGTCCAGAGGCGGATAATGATGATGATGTCGTTGGTATAAGTTGACTTACGTCTGTTGCTGTTGGTATTGCTAATGCTGGATGTGCTGTTTGTGTTGTGTGATGTGATGCGCTCTGTGAGTGAGTGCTATTTGATGCTACTGGTGTAACGACGGCAGATGCGGCTGATGATAATGTTTGAGGGCGACGACGTTCAGTTGATCTGAGCACCGGGCCTCGACTCGACTTATATCTGCAAATAGAAATGAATAAAAAAATATTTCATTAGTTTTATTCTGAAATTGATCTTTTAAAAGAATGTTTTTTGTTGTATCTGTATCAGGAAGTCATACACACGCACACTTAAGCATACATACAGAAATGCACCCATTATGAATTGATATATTTGCGACAGATGGCATGTACAGAGTAATTTCATTCACTAAAGTGTCATTTAACGCTTTCTTCCACTTTCCTCTTTCTTCTTTTTCTCACAGGGAATGTTTTTTACACTTCCTGTATGATACTTAATGGCATAAGCAAATGAGAGATGAATTTGGGAATTTTGTATGACGAATGTGTCAATGCTGATAAAATTTGAACTCAATATGACTTTTTATAGTACAGAAAATATGTGAATATTACTTAAATCAAGTTTTATGAGAGAATTAATAGCTAGCATCAGCTAGCATCCTCAGATCATCATAAATTTTTCATTTCCAGCCAGTTTTAATCCCAATGCAATGAATAAACCACTAAAGACTTGAAATTCCAGAAGCAAAACCGATTTAAATGACAAAGGACAATCCCTAATCCTGCAGAAAAGATTAAGACAACAATAAAACCCAGCAGAAGTCATGTCAGATCAAGATAATCCATGGCAGTGATTAAGACCAACACCCATAAAATGCATAACCTTTCTTTTCATCTTTTGTGACTGTGAATAATTGTGAATTCCTTGCCTTTCATCATCACTTCCACTAAATGATGTATAATGAAAGAAAAAGAAGTACTATGAAAATCAGGTCATATTTGTGGTCGCATTGTGGAGACACTTGAATAAAATAAATTCAATAATAACAATAGCAGAAAGAAATATCTTTAGGTAATGGAAGAAAGAGTCTTCATATTTGCCAGCACTCCTTGAAAAATCATTTTATTGATTTATATTTTTTTTACTCTGTGCTTTATTCCGTCTCGAGTGGATTTTTCATCTTTTTCTCGCATTGCTTAAGTGGATCATACCGAGGACTTTCTTTATGGATTCAATGATGATGCAATTGAATAAAAAAAACTTTTTTTTCCTCTTTCCTTTTTCCATGTTTTCGTGCTGAGCGAAATCTTTCATATCTTCTATGATGGCCACCAACTGTGAGTTATGTGAAAAATCTTATCAAGTTTCTTCGAAGGTATTTGCATCGAATTCAAGGAGACATAGACATAAACACGAGATATTATATGAGAAAAATTCATCATCATGGCAACAATTCGCATGACTCAATCCGCCCACTTTATGTGATTTAATATAATATAATGTGATAGTTGTTACTACAATGTTCATGTTAAGCAGTAGCTGAATCATTTTAAAAGCAATTTCTCTCAGATTAATGTATTTACTTTTATTTGTTTTGTCTGAGTGCTTAATGTCTGTCTTGAATTGCTTATAATTTAAAGACAAAGTGCAGGAAGCTTGTGGGATCATTTGCAGTCGACTCTTGCTACTTTTTTGAATGCTAATCAGTCTGATTTACACTGATATTCATGATAACTTTAGTAAATTTTGGAAAAAACTTTTCGAAGTGGAGAAAATTTTGAGCCAAACTAATTCAAATTTCAATAAACCGTTAAAACATATTCTTTACAAAAAATGCTCCATAAACAAAATTAAGCCCCAATTCCCAACTTGTTTTCTTTATTTTACATAAAAATCAGTAATGTTGTGGGACAAAGTAAAAGGCACCGTTGCCTTTCCACACGATCTCGCATAAGTAATATGGAATTAAATTCGCATTGTGATTACCGAAAAAAAGTCTGTCTCACTCTATTTCCACTCTTATTTATTCATTTATCCAAGGTAAAAAATAAATTTTTAAATTTTTTTGTGCAATTCTCAACTTAACATTGAACCAATTCCAAAAAATTGCATAATTGGACGTCGGAGAGTTGCAAGCACATTCAATTGCAAAGCCATGAATGGTATGAGCTGAGTTTTTTTTTTCATTTTCGTTTCTTTCGCTCTCTTTTTATTTATTTTTTTCGTTCATAAAGCAGTGCATATGAAAATGAAATCAACTACAATGCAGAGGCAAAAAAGCATGAAAACAGAACTGGAAATTGCTGAAATGCCATACATCACAGTTGTAAACTGCAATGGCTAATCGGGTTTAGCGGGTTTTACTCGAAATTGGATGAGTTTTTGATGTTGTTGAGGTATTGTTATTGATTAGAGTTAAAATCTCAATACAGAGAAATGTTAAGTTGTGCTGAATTTTTTGATTGAATCTTTTTTCGAGCATAGAAAATTTAAATTTACTCAAAAATACAATGACGACCCCCAAAACTCAGTCAACCCCTCATCAAACTCAAAATCACACACAACATCCGATCACAACTCATGTGTAAACGAGCTTCAAGCATCAACGTTCCACTTTATTTTTTGAGTGCATACCAAATGACAGTTACCCGGTGTGAGTTCATTTTTTAATTATTCAAATAAAAAATCATTCGACCATCATCATCATGATGCATTTTCATTTTCTCACTGCTGATATGCTTATTGTTCGAGTTGTCGACGAGCTAGTATATTATTAAATCCAAATCTATATTAAAAGCAGAAACTGAAATGCGATTTTTTCCTGTGTTGGTTTGGATGAAAAGGACTGACTGTTCAAACAGTGGTAAAAGAGAAACGATAGTTGACTACAAAAACAGGATTATAGAGCTATGAAATCTCATAGTGAAAATTACAATAATAAAAGGGGTTAAAATGGCACAATATTGAGCGAATGGTGCGAGAGTGAGTGAGAGACTATATCCGATACACGTTCCATTCAGAATAAATCAACCGTTTCCATAAAAAAAAGCTAAACTAGAGAGATATATTCCAAATGCCAATTGTATTTGATGTAGATATTATGAAAATGAAAAGCAGCAGCAGCAGTAGCAGACGGAAAATCGATTTCGCATGGAAGCAACACAGCAACACAAAAAAAAATTTTTTTTCTTTCTTCCTCCTCTTTACTGCTCATGAAATGAAGCATCAACATCCACCATTTTGTGTTATGTTCTCATTCTCGTTCTGTTCTGCTTTTCATTTTATGCTTCTTATTTTCTACACAGATTCAGAGAATTTTCAGAACGAGAGGAAAAAATGTATTTTCTGTATGTGTGTGTGTTTGTAGGGAATTATTAAAAGGAAAAATCACTTTTGCGTGCAGAAGAAGGGAGGATTGAAAAGGGGATAAAATGGACATGGATAGAATCTACCAAAACAATATCTGTGGAAATTTAGGAAATCCTTAATAATTTCTTGAAGCCTCTTTTTTCTGGGGCAACATTTCACATTATCTTATGAGAAAGTTTACACATAAATGAAATAAAAATGGACATTTTGAGGAAAGGATGTCCTTCTGCGTTACACATAAACCTAATTGGCATTCTGTCAGAAAAGTTTATAAAGAACAGATAAGAACTTTAAGTTTTTGATTGAAGAAAAACAAGAGTTTAAGATTTTATGAAGAAAATGGAAAAGTTTTTCAATTTTTCAGATTCATTGCTTTATTTTGATGCATGAGAAAGTGCTTGTTGTTGACGTTAAGATCAACTGTTTATCGAGAATTGGAATGATGATTTGACAGAGCAAATTGAAGGTTTTCTTGAATTTTTATGTAAAGTTTGAAGGATTTTCAGAGAAATATTGAGAATTTCCCATTCAAGCATCAAGTCATTTCCATTCCAACTTCACATTTAATTTCCATTCATTAATTTCAACTGTAATTTTATAGTTTCCCACCAACACACCGCATTAAATTCATAATTTTAATCTTCCCAATATTAAACTCCATTGAGGAACTTAAGCCTTATAAAATATTATTATAAATCCCATCAATAAATCATTCCATAAAACTGATTAAAATTGAAATTTATTCAACAAAGAGACATGCACAAAGAAGATGTAATAAATGTGCAGTGCAATTCATCAAAATCACAAAAAAAAGCAGCAAAACCTGCAACAAAAGAGCGGAGAATTTCAGAAATAAAAATTAGCAATTCTTTGCCCGAATCAGCATCGTTCCGTAATTCGAGAGCAAAATTGCATTTGGTAATAAAAAAAAATTGCAAATTGAGTAAATTCTTTTTTTTTTCTCATTTCAATTTATGCCCAGGTTTTTATTATATTTTGTTTGAAGTATACAGCATGAATACAACTCGAGAGTGTTTATTAAAATAAAACACAGCACAGCCAGCCTGCATGTTGAATATTTTATGATCCAGAATTTCATGAAAAAAAATACAATAAAATATGCACAGAGCAAAGCGCAAAAAAGTCAATTGCAGAAAGGAAAAAAAAGAGTTGTTGGATTGATTGATTGCTTCAACATTTTTTTTTTCAATATTTCCACTGCCGCTGTTGCTTTTCAGTGCTTGTCACTTATGCGGGGTACACTGAACATGCATTGAAGGACTTTTGTGCAAGGCTTGTATACATTTTCGTATACAAATGAATGAGACAAGGCATATACATATTTTGATTGTACAGTAATTGAATACGTGATGCAAATGCTACAACATAAATAAACAAACTGATATGAAGCTTAGCGATGATGATGATGATGAACATGGAATGGGGGGCTTTTTAATATCATTTATATTGAATCCCTGACTTCCTATTCAAAACATAAAGTCTGAGCTCATAAGACCATCTGAGCACCATTTTCTTGAAGTATTAAGAGGATTACCAATTAACGTCCAGCATTCTTGACGTGTATTGGAACGAATGAGAGCAGGAATGGAGAGAAAATTAATAAATCCTGTCAAATTAACGAGCAAAAACCTAAAAGTCATTCATCTTTACAATGATATGTTCATCAATCAAGCTCCTTCTTGTCAATTGTATCATGTACCATAAAAATTACGTTTAAGGGAAGTGAAGAACAATTAATCACATGCACTCACAGCTGTAAGGCTTTTTTTTTTTGCTGTGCTAAATTTATAAGACTCACTTGGAGAAATTGATCAACAATCGAAAATTAA